CTGTCGGCTCAGCTGCTTTGGCAGACTATGATACCATTGCGAGTTTAGTAAGCGAACCAGACGACCTGGGCGAGGCACCCGCCGAGCAGTCCCAAGAACATATTCAATATTTGACCATGGTCGGCGACCGAGACATGATACTTGAACAGCTCTTGGATCTTCGAAACGAGCATACGCAACTTGTCGAAGAGCAGAACTGGAGAGCTCATTTCGGCCTCAGCCTGGACGAGGACTCGTTGCATTTTCTAAAATCCTTTGGAGGACAAGAGCAGGCACTCCTTGACGAACTAGAGTATGCGGAACTAGGCTTGGAGGCCTTGAAACAGCTCCAGGCAGACGGTGAAGCTCTGGCAGTCTCAAAAGAAGCTTCCGAGCGTGAGCCAGATGAGGATGAAGCCGCAATGAGGGATTTTGAGCGGACCAGGCCGTCGAGCCAGGCCATTTCCCCGCCTGCCCGGAGATTGGTGCAAAGTCCGCTCTATCAAGGGATTCTGCACCGCAAAATCAGATTGGTGGATCACCTCCGTGGTCCAGATATAATACCAGTGGACCATGGCGACTTCATCAATGCGTGGCTCCTGCACCGATTGCAATCTCTGCCTCGACTGCTCGGCGAGTACATTTCACTCATCGAGACACAATACGGCGACGACGTCGAAGCTGATGATTTGGAACATCTGTTTCTGGAGAAGTGGTTTAACGACTCCTCGGCAGCCGATTTTGCGAAACATCTTAAAGCAAACCTCGCAGAGTCGGCAGATTTGGTGCAGCGAAGCCTTTTGGCCACTGCCATCCGCCCAACGTCTGCAAGGCTGCTGAGGATGGGGCCTTCGACGACCGTACAAGACATCATAGACCAGGCGAAAGGGCAGTAAGTGTTCAACCGAGCCTCTACCGCAAAATAGCGAAAGCCTTCAACAAGGCGACCGATATGGGACCGCCCCTTACTTCTCAGCTTCCTGACGACGTACCGCCATCGGCACCCTTATCCAAGTCTCCCCCGAGGAGAGAATAAAATGGTGCAGGGTCATGTTGCTCTCGTGAAGTCGGAACGGTAGGCCGGGTTCGTTACAAGATAGGAACATTAGATAGGGAGAGCCCTAAGCCTCGCCAACCCTGCCAAAACCTTAATGATGAGGACTATGTTCTAATTGTCTATCTCTCGCAGACGAGGACATTCGATAAGATGTCTCAGGAAGGTGAGATATCTAGGGTGTCCCTATTCACCTCCATATCATTGAAACTCTATGGCTATACTGAGCTATGACACGCCTAGACCGGCGGAAACGGTAACAGGTAGACGAAGGAGTCGCTGAACAAATGGGTATAATGGCCTTGGGGTCGCACATGGTTGTTTTTGGGCCAAAGAGACAATCGCCCTCGAACATTGAATGTATCTACACTGAGCGGCCGGAACGACGTTACCGGGGACAACTGCACAGCTCTGATTCTGACTTCTGCCATCTAAAATCTCGTCGTACATAGAAGGAGAGCTGTGTTTAAACAGCGGCGGCCTCGCTGGAACCTCCGGAGACGGTCTTCTCAACCCATGATTCCAGGAATCAGAATTCCCTCTAGGGGCTTCGTGCCCGCCGAGCGGTGGCGTCCTTAGCGCAGCGAGAATCAATCGTGGCTCCCTCCCAAATTGTTCGTCTCACAATTTAAATCTTCTCTCCGCGATCAACCACCAGCGACACACCATAGATATCTTTCCATCAGTCCGTATTATCACCACCTATGGATATCGTCTCCTCCTCTTCCTTAGAGAAAGATCAATATATTTTGTCTCTCTCGGAAGGCAAAGCCTGTTCAAACTGCCAAAAAAACAAAGAATCATGTACATTCACAACGTCGAGTTGGTATCATATCATACCCACCGCCAGGAGCACAGTTGAATCCGCCAGGTCGGCCAGATTCGTCACCTACCCACCAGCAGCGTTGGAAACGAACGCCCAAACTCCGTACTTTCCCGATCACAAAGCATGCTCAGATTCGACTAATCATCAACAACTTGTTTCATCGTCTCAGGGCTTGTATTCCGACACGGTCTTAGGAATTGGATGGAATGGGGTTGCCGAACGGCATGAGTCAACGTCTGTCGAAAGCGGTTCTTTCGCCACAGGCCCGTGGGCCACTGTGGCGGGCAACCATCGAGGTATAGAAGGAAGCTGGGGATATGGTTCCATGGTTTCAGTGCCAGGTAGCGCGGCCGCTGCTTCCGCAGCTGCCATGCATGAGATCGTTTCCCTTGATCAATCATTCCCAACACAATATGCAGCCCCCGGTGGATGGGCTTACCCTGAGCTCTTCGATGGGAAATCCGGCTGCCCCCTCGACGCAGCCCCCAAGGCCGAGCCGTTGCCGAGTCTACCTTCGGTCCGTTTCGAGACCAGCGACGAGGACAACGCCACACGTCCAAAAAATCCTCGTGAACTATGTGGCTCGGTTACCACGGATCCAAAGCCACTCCAAAGCACGCGGTCAAATCAGTTGAGGAGAAATATGGTCCAAGTATCAGTCCCTCAACTTGACTTCGATAACTTGGCTACGAAGAAGTCGATTGCGCTTGCCCTATTTCGTATCTACCAGGACAGTTTTGAGATGCACATGTCCTGTTGGGTAACGGAGAAGAATTGTCCGTCCGAGAACGAGCTTCGCAACATTGACAACGCGCAGCCTCATTATGACGCCTGTCGTATCTACTCACGGGTCAACCGCTTGGATTTGGCGTATTCTTCCTTTAGGGACCACCAATTGTCCCAAAGGGAAACTATGGCCGCTTACAGGGCGATACATTCAGCAATTATGGCATTCGCCAGCCAACGGTCGCATCCGTTTCATCGCACATCCCGTCAAAGCAAGGCAGTCATCTCGCAAACGAAGGCCCGCGAGACTGACACGGCGACCTACTTCTCGACATCTACGCCGCCTAACGACCCAACGCCGCCAAGTAAATGCGAACGAACCATGCGAGAGCAACTTTGGTACCAGGCAAGGAGTGCCATCCAGTCCAGCTCCGAGATCGATTCATTTAAGGTCATCCTTGCGCATTTGATCTTCGCCATGACGGAGAGCCCATTGGATGTAATCGGTAGTATGGCTAACGAAGAGGGGCCTCCTAACCACGCGAGCGTTCTCAAGGAGTTAGCTTCATCACGGATCTGTCTCGAGAGGTCAACTGGAAGTTTACTCTCGTGGAGGAACAAACTTGGGCGCCATCCGTGGCTGAGGTTGAAAGCGAACGGCTCCAACGCCCCTGGCCCGATGGACGCTTGTATTCTCGAAGGCCATCAGACATTCGAACTCCTGTTCTGGCTCGGTGTCGTGTGCGATACGATCTTGTCGGCTATCAGCAAGTGTCCGCCAGTCATCTCGGACGAGGATTGCGCTATAGCCCAAGGAGATGTGGGCGGTGTCGGCGAGACTGGATGGGACGACCTTAGCCCGTGTCTGCCCCCGGCAGGGGACCGAGATCATCAACACGACCACGACCTAGACCAGTGCGGACCATGGGGAGGGTATCTCCCGCGCTTCAACTTCGGGGGCCCACGGGATACACTATCTCAATTTCCGTTGAGAACCGACGAAGCGGCCTTGATACTTGAACGGGTCGTCCCGTTCAAAGTCCACCTATTCCGCACGGTGGTACAACTACAAAGTCAGATTTCTTGCAGGGCTCCTCTAAGGGAACTCAAGAAGCACATCCGGAAAGCGATATCTGTCTACGAACGGTGTCAGGTATTATACAAGCCACTTATGATCCACTACGTGAGTAATTACAATTCACTCGATCCGCAGGTACGGCCCTGGTACGTCATCGTTGCCAGTTACTGGCACTACGCATGCCTGCTGTTGGCAGACGCGATCTCGCAGATCGACCGTGAAAGGGAGGTGACAGAGTTACGACGCAATCTGGAAGCAGGCGACAGCTTCATCACCATGTTGCAGTTTGAGAGCGCTCAAATGATCTCCATAATCGTGCAGGTGTCACTGTCTGAACCCCAGCCATCCGCACACCATGGCTCGGTGTTCTACTCCGCTTGCAAGGGCGGCGTCATTCTCACTGAACCCTGGACGGACGTCACGGTCCGGGCCCTAGAGAGCACGTGTACGATCTTTATAAGGTGGATGTCGAGCTTCAGCAATCCTATCGACCCAAACCGCGGCTGGCTCCTTGCAAACACAACTTATCAAGAGCTGCACAGCCAGACAGAAACCTGCATTCAAGGTCTAATGCTCCTAGGTCAAGAATCGAGCAAGGCAGCTTATACCGCAGAGAAACTCTCGAAAAGCCTGAGCCAGAGGTGTGATCGAGCTGGCAATCTTTGACAGTGGCGGGGAATTTCTTTGTAAGCCATATAGAGACTAGAATGTAGTACGTAGGATGCAGGTTACAACTCCAGGGAATCTAGACGTCCCTCGCTGAGCAAGAGCTACGTCGAGGTAATTGAAATTAGGAGAAAGTTGTATACGAGGGCGATCAACAAACACGAGTAAATAGGACGGACGCCAATGCATGACCTGGGAGATAAGTTTCAGTTTTGCTAGAGCCTTGTTCCACCTGGCTTGGTGTCATGCGTGACACGGTCTCCTCGGCCACCAGCACGCCTCCGCTGGTCATCTCGAACGAAGATTGCGCCATCGTTCGATTCACCTGCTACCCCCAATGCGACCATTGTAGGCCGGATGCCTAGGGATCCGTCTCAGCGATTCGGGCGACGCTGGTGCTCGGCTAGATCCTAGCCGGTCGATATCCCCTACTCGGGTAGGAAGGCGGTAAACGTCATTTTCCAACGGCCCCATGACACCCGTTCTGTTCTTCGGAATCACTTCTGTTATCCCTAAGCTAGCAGTTTCTAGGCCTAAACCTGAGAAGAAGCTTAGCGCTGGATGATTTCTTCGTGCACCGCCATTTGCATCAGAAGCTGGTTCGCCTTCAATGTCCATCCCGGAAGCTGTGGATCTCGCAGAGAAGGAGCGACGAGTTGGAAGTGCCGAGGGAGGGCGTTGTGGCGGATCAACATCGATGGATGTTTCTTCTATGGTTGCCAGCTTACTTCGTTGAAAGCCGCCCAGCGCTGCCGCTTGGTCGGACAGAGCACGGCAGATGCGGTGAGCATTGTCCAGGTGGTAAGAGCCAAATCCTCCAGGGGATAAGGCGGATCGATCGATGGCTGAGTCTGCAATCGGAGTCACTGTCGCAGCAGCAGTTGAGGTCCGATCTTCGGGTTTTAGACCTTGGGATTCACATTGAGTTTCGAGTGGTCTTTCTGGTGGAATAATCAGCGTTAAGGCTGATGTCTGTGACGTCTGAGAAGCAATCCCCGTCACTTGGGCTGTGGCTTGCGCTCTTTCCAACGTCTTTCTAAATATTTCCGGATATTGCATAGTCTTCGGCGTCTGAGTCTGTCGCGCTTGAGGACCAGCGACGGCATCTAAAGTCGTGTTTGTGGCCATCCGGGCATTTGGAGAAATCTGAAGATCAGAAAGCTTAACCTCCGTACACGAGAAGCATCGTAGTGCGAGGGAATGCTGTGAGCTTTCGACATGCCTGCCCCACTGTTGCACTAGGTCAAATTGCATCTGCGAGGCGTCTGGTTTGGTAAGACAGGTTAAAAGCACAGCCTCCATGTATTGACGATGGTGGGCGTACAGATCGATTGCCTCGCTCGCAAGACCTTTGACAAGCATTAAAGTAACGGCAGTATGGATCTCACCACTCCCAATCATCTTCTCGATAAAAGTGCCAGTGATCTTCTTGTCCGCGACTTCATCGCCGGCCGTGCTGAGAGCCAACAAGGCCCAATCGGGGTTCGAATCTGGGTCCATCAAACTCATGATCTCAGCCAGATAATCGGAGTCTCGGTTCAGCCACGTCGCGAGGAAAATTGCATTCCGGCTGTCTAGCGGATGGCGGCCGAGCTCGTCCTGGATGAGTTTCTCAACCTCTTCTTCCCAGCCAAACACAACACTCAGCATTTGGCGGCGCCAATCGGCAGGCGCCATACGAGCCCCGTCGAACGATCGAGGGGCTCGATCCGAGATACCATCATGCAGTCGAGCTCGGGTATGAGGGAACAGTTCTGGAACCGGTCTTTTCCCCGGCCTCACGATGGTTTCCTGCCTTAAACGAGAGCCTTTCCCGGCAGTTGTGGTCGTGTCGGGAGACGGGGGCTGGCAAACCTGGCTGGACAGTCGACCTGGCACCGGCGCAGACGAAGAACCGGGCCGGACGCCGGCGGCAAAGGATGTTGGGGGGTAGCCGGCGCCGCCGGCGAGGGAGACGATTGCTGATGGAGCCCCGACGATGTCACCACGTGCCCTTCTCACGGGCTCAAAAGCACCCCATTCGCTCGTGGCCCGGACGAGGGGCGAAGCGGCCGCTCTCTCGCCTTTCCACGTGGTGGATACAGCAGCGCTCATATCTTCGGGCTGTGTTGGCGGCACACTCGGGGGTATGTGCTCTATATTTGCGACTAATTGTGCTGTCATAACGTCATACCTTTGGACGGTATGGCCTGGTCCTAGAGTGAAGAGAGATCCAGTCGGTCCGTGGCAGGCAATGGCTCTGACGCCCTCGACCGTCGGAATGGCTGTACATGTGACGTGTCTGGACCGGACATCCCATGCCCAGATCTTGCCTTTGGAAAATTGGACGATCCGGCCATTTTTAGACCATGACATCCCATTTCGACCAGGAGCGTACACACCGGAACTCTTGAGGTCATGGATGACTCGAGGAGCCTCATCGGTTGCGGGTTTCGAGACACGCCACACCCTCACGTCTCCGTTCGCCGTCTGAGTGGCCAAAATATCGAACTTTTGCGTGGGATTCGACGCGTGCCACGCCATGGAAGCAATCGGCGAATGCAGACGGTTCGTCGTCAAGGTGTGAAAGATGATGAATGACGGCCGCAATGCCGCCAACAGAATCGAGCCGTTGTTGTATCTACCAGGATTAGCCGGACGATTCGACGTCAAGGTCGATAAGCGACCCACTCACCCGAGAGCGTATATCTCGCGGTCTGATGACAGAGCGATGGCCGTGACGGGGCTGGATATGGTACGGGTAGAGAAGTAGTCGCCTGTTTTAGGTTTCCACGACGTTATATTTCCTGTCGCGCCACCTGTACGTTATTAGCGGAACCCCAATGAGGTCTAAGAAACCCAACCGACCAAACACGACGTGCTCATTCCCTATCCAGTGCGCGACGTTGAGAGACTCTTTTGACACGAAACGAGATAGTTGCCTGCCGGTGGACAACTCCCACACGATGCCGGTTTGTCCAACGTCGTAAGTGACGACCAGTCTCCCGGCGTCAGTTCCGCTAACGTTGTCGGCTGATATCCATCGGATGTCCTCCGAATGCTCTTCAAACCGACGTTCAACGGCAAGAGTGTCATGCCTCAGACATAAAACGGTTGACCCTTGGCATAGTAGGAACACTGACTCGGTCGACGCGCACGGCTCCAGAGGAGCCGTCTCAGTCGGGCTTGAGCGCGATGGAAATTCTACAGGCATGACATTTGAGCGTCCGTCGACGCCGCAAAAGGTCCTTGAACTGCGATCGAAGAAGATGTCTGCCGAACCACATGGCGCAAGCTCTTATCCCGCCAACCGTCCTTCCAGGTGAACCGCATCTTCCAGGTGACGCCGCCGTGATTCGGATCGTCGCCTACGGGGTGGCAGCCAGAGAGCCGATTGGAAGACGATGTGAAGAGACATCGCTTCAAGCGACCATCTCGCATCATCTCCGGGTCACGCAGACAATCACACGGAAGGGGAAACCTTGTTTTTCGGAGGGGGGAAGGGGAGCGTGTGAGGGCGACTCTACTGACCAGCTGGCGGCACCGTAGGGCGAAAGAGGTCCCCATACAATGTTCGCGACGCGGGGCTGCGAAACCATCTACGCCCTCCGCTGCAGGATTGCAAGTTTTACCACCCTCTTGGGGTGGAGAGGTGTTGCCGGGGAGCTCCGCACATGGATTTTCGAGCGTCCGCGACGCGCAGGGTTTCTCATTCCCGTGTTCGTTGTAGCGATGGCGTCAGAACGGCGAGACGCACCAAAGAATCATCGACGGCTCTATGTACTGTAGTGTGCCGCCAACGCAAACCCACGGGGGTCGGCTGGTGGCTCAGGGAAGGAGACCCTCGCGTGCGACTGATCCTGTGGTCGAGAGCTGGGCCCAAGAGCCGGTCACGTGCCTCACCTCCGTGGGTGGCCGCTTTCCGTTCAACACATCCATCCTGGAACCTGCTCTACGATGTATTAGACCGTTCCACGGGGCCATATGATGCCATACAAAGCCAATGTGCAATCGAGGCCGTGTCCACAATCAGGCCGAGTGAAAGCCGGGACGTTTGAATCGAGGCAGCGTCTTGTCTGCCCCTGGAAGAGCCGCGTCTACCGAGGGGAGAAGAAAGGACACTACAGCGGTCCAACCATCTGCGAGAGTGCGGGTATATGCAGCAAAACTCTTTGTAACCTTTCGAGGAGGACAGGAGGGCAGATACGGTGCTTGGACAAAATGCTTGCGGCTTCGTCCCAAGACGTCCTTGTAGAGTGGGGTATGAGGCTAAGGCGATGCCGCGTGATGGACACATGTGACGGTGACTACGGCAGTGATATCTGTGCCCATTTGCCCGATCCCGACGAATAGGAACATGTACGGAGTAGAAGGCGGAGAAGCCGCGGTGGACACAACGAAGCCCAATGGAGCCCCAAATATGAGAGGTCTAACAAAAAAGGTTATTTACACTTTACGAACCTTTACCGTTTGTGGTAGACGCCGGTACCACTCATCCGGCTAGGCAGCTCGTGTCTGAGTCTAAGGAGACGCCTTGCATTGGCATTTGTCCTTTCTGCCTTACTAGCCTCTCCTCCTCGCATCCGCCGCCGGCCTGCACACTTCCCCATCATATTACATTCTCGTTTCGACCCTGTCCAGCGGGATACTTTCTTGCGGCTGAGACCACTGTTGACCATTTGCCGGCCTCCCAGGTTCGCCAAACTTTCCTGGCCCTTTGTACAGCGCACTCGGTACGCTCTCGTGGCCCATTCCCTGATGTGTTGTTATTCCATGTGCCCCTGCTGCTTTCTCTGGGCCTGTCTTGACGTTCCCTATTAGTAACTGGATTATTCATACAATTGGGATGTCGGCAGCCAGTCGCACCTGGCATCCGCGGCCTAATGGCACCGATGCCCGCCGAATCGTCATGGACCCGTGGAATGAAGGATATGAAGCTTTGGAACTGCGCGATCACGTTGCTAGGTATGTCTATGTCAGCTTGACGTGAGCCAGCTCAAGACTTACCCTGACGTGTATGTAGCGCTGGATGTCCACAATCTTCGACTCACTACTCCAAATACGATACCGGTTATTTATCCCCCGAACGTGACCACCATCCGGCGAATGGAGGGGCAGGACCGGAGTCACATGCCGCAACACTTGAAGATGTGAAAACGAATTTTATGAACATCGTACCCATCACCAGAGAATACCGCTGTGAGAAGAGGTGCCTCGCCCATTCCACACGTAGTTTGGGATGCAGAACCCGTTCTTGTCGCAGAATCACACAACACTTTCGACTTGCCTGAACTTCTGAAGGAGGATTTAACAAATCACAATGATACATTCAGTCACATAAACCAGGTAGATGATCCAATTCGCTTCGTCACCAAGGTCCAGAAGATTAGGCGGCAGCGTCAGAAAGTCCAAGCTCTCCAGATTCAGGCAAGAGACAAAGGGAGCAGGGTAAAACGTGCGCGAAATCGACTACAAGAAGCCTTTCGCAGCTTCCTTGACGCAGGCGGAACAATTCCTCCCCAAGGAAATAGTCATGACAGAGCGACGGCCAGCTTGCGAGAGATGAATGCGACTTTCCAAGAGCTGGAAGCCCGGGACATTGACCTTGATATGGTAGAATCGACTCTCGTTCCAGCAGAATGGGAATTGAAAGATTCCGAGCAACAACTTTACGAGGACATATTAGGGCCGTCGGCTTCTGATGGGAATGACTCCGAGATCAGCGTTCAAGCGATCAAAAGGATTCCCGAGACTCTCCATGATGGACCAAACCAGAATTGCAATAATTTGCAGTCGCCGAAGCATGAGCTAACTGGTCAAGAACGACTGTCTGCACCAGCCCGGAAAAGAGAGGGAAGTCAAGGATAGGCTGCTGGATCTCACAAAAGAGCACACTGCGCTCCAGGAAGACGTGCAGATGAGAACGGCGGTTGGTCTACCTGTGGACCAATACTCACAAGAGGCTCCAGGAGCTTTTCCGAAGCGCCGGGCGCAGTTGATGGGAGAGTTGGCTGACCTGACCACGGGCATCAATACCTTGAGTCATCTGGTCGCCGAAGGACCGGGACCGATGTCCGAAGAGTCAGATGCACTTTTTGGCCCCGGTCAATTTGACAACCTGCCAACCGACGAAGCGATGAACCCGGAATCTCCGAATCTCTGAATGAGAGTGGTCACGCTCTGCATCTTCGCCCCCGCGACCACGAGGAACGAAATAAGGACATTCTTCCTTTCCTGGCCCAGCCTATTCTGGACACCATGTCCCATGTCTCGAGTCTAGAAGAACCACTCGCTGTTCCTCCACCCACTCAATACTCGTCTTTCGCGTGGGATCTGCTTGACCGGGACGCCGAGTCCATTTCAGCCTTTGTCTCCATGTGGATTCTCGGGGGTGTGCAGTCTTCGTGGTGGTCTCTGGTTCGCTTCATCTTCATGGGTGATCTCGACGGGATAACGTCGAGTCAGACCGTGGAAGACTCCATCCAGGGAAACGTGGTTTCAAAACGACCTCGACGATAGAATATGATTCTAGCGAAGATCCAAAATGTTCTGGTCGCTCAGCCTTTTTTTGGGGGCGCGATCTTTGACCCCTTCGCTAGATGGGACCGACATCCAAAATATTGAGTGGGAGGGTCCCCCTTTCACCCCTGACACCAAAGTATAGTTTTGGACACCCGGTGGCGGCGGTTTACAGAAAGGCGTCCAACCACCCTGACCCGAATCACACTGAATACCCGTGGCCCTGAGGATGAAAGAACTATGAGGGATCCCTTTAGGCCGTAGTACGGGATAGTATTCCGTGAATCGTGTTAGCAAGACTTTCCGCGAGTCCAAACTATTTCGACGCTGTAGCCTACGTAGCGTAATATGTGTCCTTGTCGTCCGAATGAAGACAAAGGATGGCTCCACCCTCCAAGGACTGTCAGCTAGCGGTGACGTACCATTCATGATTCTTCCAGAACGACCAACTGCTTTTATCACAATCATCTCCAGGACTTTTCTCTAGTGCCGGAGCGGCTCTCGCCTGGGCTTCTATCATTCACACTCCCTTCGGTCTTCGATATGCGTCTTTGGTTCATTCTCCTCAGCTTCGCGGAGTGAACCCAGGTCCAGCAGCGACGGCGGTTCCCGCACGCACCGTCTCTCGATCGCACTGTCTCTCGATTATGGAGCCGAAGGTCAACCTCCAGAACGACGTCCCGTTTTGTTTGGATCGTCTAGTAGAAGGCATCGGCTTCGCCGCATAGACGGAAAATGTGACGCTTATTGGTGACCCGATGGACAACCAGAGTGAGATGACTTCTAGCGGAGCACAGTGAGCCGCGGAGTCCGAAGTCTTCGGTCCCGAGGGAAACGCCGCTTCTTCTCATAGAAGCGTTGGCTCAGGTGTCTTGGACGGCAAAGGCTGGCCTGGTCAGGGAGATGAGTGGCTTGCCTTAATCCACGATCCCTAGAGCATTGGCAGTCCTCACAAGTGGGAGGGAATACACCACGTAGGTCAACTGAAATGCCAGAATAGCTCGTGGTATCTGGTTGAGGCAGAGTCGTCAGAGGACCGTAGAAGCCACCGTCGCCCAAAGAGGCTGGGTCGCATGTTGAGTGAAGAGGTATCTGGTCGAGGAGCAACGGCGACTCGAGCGGCATGCACGCCTCTCGTATCTGCCTAAGAACCAGATAGAGGCAGGTATCGAGCCAGAGAACCACCGATCTGAGGGGGAAGGAGCGCCACCTGGGGGTTGCACCGAGGGTTGTAGGCGCGTTGGATGCAGATCAACAGGTGAACCTTGCGCGCCACTTGGTTACACTGTTGGCCGCGATGACTAAGAGTCTCCTCTTCCAGAGAATATGCAGGTGCGTTCTGCTATTCGACAAACACGCACACACGTGCAGCCTCATTTTCAGTCCATTCTTTTTGATACAGGCGGCGTGGTCCTCTCATGCTAAGCGACCTTCAAGCCATCCGAGGGAACAAGTTCGATCCCCTCCTGGCTCAGGCGCCGGAGGCTAGAAAGCAAACCTCCACTCAGGCAAGTTGAGGTTGCGCGGTCCCCGCGCCGCGTCGCATACACACTGACAGTCGTGACAACGTAAACTCTCACCCGCCGGCGTCATCTCGTCCCCCGCAACCTGAGGCCAGACCTCGAAACCTCTCAAGCCCACACGGGGCCCCTCCCTCCCCTGGTTGGGACAACCGTCGACGACGCAACGCCCAAAGGAATCCTCCAGAGCCGTGGACAAGAGCATGGAAGATTCAGACCGTGTAAAAGATGCAACGCTGGAAAGGAGTGAATCCTTAGCCAACCCAGCTGAAGTTCCAGGACAAGTGTCTCTGCTGCGGAGCGATGACGCCCCCGGACAGCTCGGTGAACCCCAAGGCTCGACAACTCGAATTCCACCATCAGACAGTGAACATGAACCTCATGTCGGAGCATCGGAAGCCACCGCTCGGTTTCAGGCT